ACTTAATGAATGCTTATTTTACTCATTGGTACATCGAAAATTGAGTACCAGTGAATGTGGTACCTTAGTATTCGTTCATTGGTCTTGTGTATTTTATACAATTGTTTATAGTGAGGGTAATACCTATAAGTATTCTATTTTGATGGTACAACAAACGAACCAAACGGTTCAAGACAATAATTATGTTAAAAATTTCCAACTTACTTAAAATTATTTGGACTTTCAAACCAGATGAAAGTAAATAACGAAAATCATAACCATGAACCTCGCAGTGGACTAAATGATTTAGAGCAAACAATTATTTTTCAAGACAGTTTTGAGAAAAGCAACTAAATATCCACACGAAAAGCCAAGTAAAGTTTTAATTAAAATTTTATAGATGGTCAGTCTACTAGTAAATTAGAAATCACTGATTTGAAACATGCTAAAAGAAATGTGTATAATATCACAGTATTTAAAATCCTTAACTAACAAATATGAACTGTATTCACAAAAAGCCATAGCTTGAAGCATATATAAACCATAAATAGGGGGACGGAGTGGCCAAGCTGTCTAAGGCGTTGGCTGCGACGCAGCCGACGCTGGCTCGATACCTCGGTCATGTGAGGCATTTTTCTTCGCACAAGTCACGGTGTCCGGAGAACAAGTGCCGTCATCCCCAAACCCGGGCGCGTATTTTGCAAATGTAGGTACGCTCAGAACTGCAGGGTTGCTCTGATTGGACCAATTTGAATTTGCCGCTATTATTATTATTATTTTATTATCAAGAACTAAATATAAGCAACCCGGGCATGGCAGATACCTACGGGTGCCCAATCAAAAATTCTGCCAAACTAACACACACGTCCCCCCCCAGTGGCGGATCCAGAGGGGGGTGCTAGGGTGCTATAGCACCCCCCTTGGCATGTTGCTACCTGGTTAAAAACAAATACTATATACTATACATATTTTTCAGTGGGCCGGGTACGTTATACTAAATCGGTAACAAAATAAATAATATTATTTTTTTTTTTTATAAATAATTTTTCCCTCAACAATTGAGATAAGTGATAACCAGAAGTGACTGAAAAATGGAACGATACAACTATAAATAAATATTGTTCTATGATTCAACCCACGGGTCACGGGTATCAGACATGAATATTGGGTCTAGTATCTTACTGTTTAAATCATAGATATTGTCCACGATGTAGATAATATTATCTAGTAGTTACACAGAATAGAATAATAGTTATCACTAGTGTTATCACCGAATACCGATTATACTATTTTAAATCCACGGTATTATTATAAATAATAATTTTGTCTATTACTTTAATCAGTGGCGTACCTATGTACAAATTATTTTCATAATGGGCCAATTTATCACTAGTTAGCATAGTGAGACTAACATAGCCATAACTATACATTTTTTAAGGAGCTGGGTGGTTATAAATACAAATAAAAATTGAGCAATTCAATTTTATAATTATTATGTAAAATTCATTTTTAATTCTTTTTTAAAAAATATTGACAATTTCATATATAAATAATATATATTTTAATGTTATCTTATTGTGAATTTAACACAAAAGTCATCAAAGCAAGTCCAGACAATCTAACATTTCCTTGTTGATTCCTCATAACGATTTTAATTAACCGGTTAAATTAATCATGGTGAAAAACTGTAAACACGTTTGATATACATGAAATAGTTTAATTGAACCTGCAATTTAACTATGGGCTCTGGCCTAGGGAGCCTATATACGCCACTGACTTTAATACTTTGTTATTATACATTTAAAAATTAAAGATATCTTAAGTAGTTGATACCTTCGCTTGGAAAAAAAAAGGAGGATGGAATTAGAAGATTGGTCAAAATGTCCTAATCATTTTAATTTGTTTTTTGTCAATCAATTATTAAGAAATAAAAAATACAATAAGTGGATGTGATATAATTTAAATTTCTTGTTTACATTTTTATGTTTTATTTTTTTTTTAAATAAAGATATTTGTTTTAGATGTACTTTGAAAGTTTTCACTTATCTTTATCCTTTTAAATATTCAGCAATGTGCTTTATGTGCAATTGCCAATTAGGACTAAAAAAATGTCATGCCATCAGGATGTAGTATACAGAATACAATATTATACCTTAACCTAAGCACCCCCCATAAAAAAATCCTAGATCCGCCCCTGTGATCCCCCTTACTGACATAAAAACCTACAAAACCATACAGCTAATGGCCATAGTCGCCGGGCTTAAGATCAATTAAAAAAAAAACCATAAATAATTTCTTATATAATATATTTAAATGACGACAAATGTTAAGTTATAGAAAACTAGTATTGCGATGGTTAGCAAAAATATTAATATAATAATTTTAATAATAATTAAATTAATACAAAATACAAATAGAAATAACAAAATAAATTATTGGAAACACAAGATGGTTCTATATTATTATAAAAATATATACATATGAATGTTTTATGCGTAAAATGCATTATAGGAATTTCACTATTTATTTTTAGATTTTTAGAACGGTTCATAATAAGCTGTTGTACAGTTATAAACAGTTATTCAAACGCTTTTACTGCCGATATTATATTGATGAGAATACTGAGATAAGTTAGGCATTATTATCATAATTAGGGTTATAAATTATATTATAATATCATATTACATTTATATGTCTAATTCATTTTAATATTTATGAGCGCATTAAGCAAGTATGCTCATATTAAAAAGTCCACCTTTTGCGAACGCCTAACACCCCAAAAAAAAAATCCTCTTAATATTTCTCTGGAATTACCTAATTAATTAAAATATGTGTTGCATCTAATAATAACATTAATAAGATCTAACATATAAATAATATAATTACTGTTTAATTACTTTGAAAAACTTTACGGTGGTGGACGGTGCACGCCGGAAGTGTTTAATTAATATACGAAGTAAGAAAGAGGATCCCTAACCAAACTACTAACAATTAGTTAAGTTGGTAAATGTTGGCTTACAAAACATAGTTTGGAAAGTTGAAGTAAATAATAAAGGATAATAATGGAATAATTAGAACCTGACTGAAAGAGAAAATCAATTTGACGAGAATAATAATAGTCTTCTGTCCTATCTATGTTAAAATATATAACTATAGAGATTTTAAAGTATAGGTAAAAGTGTAAAAAGTACGATAAGTTAACCAAAACAGATTTGGTTACAGTCTCATATAATTAGAGACTAATACAGTGTATTTTACCCGTTTTCTATGTAAAATAAATTTATTTATATGGCGACGATATTATTATACGCTTGTAATATACCTATAATGTACCTATAGTCAATAAACGAATATCAAAACGTGTTGACGTCACAAATCACAATATTCTGATTCGAATGGTGCGAAAATTTCGGTGTTGAGCACGTCGTCTGGGACAATCCTATATACCCGATGTGATTATGGATAAATTATTTAATAACTTGTTATGTTTATTCTGTTAAATTGTCTGTAAAAAGACATCGTATACCTACTGGTAATTTTTAAATTAAATTAATAAGTCGTCAGTGGAAAATATGTGTTAGTTTTTTTAACAATATCAAAGAGGTATATATCATAAATTAGTTCTAATTTAACACTTAAGAAAAATTACAAAAAATAGGGCGTCATATAGTCATATAGTAAACCAAATTTAAACATAATAAAAAATAATAAAAATGTAGTGATGTTTAAAAACTATTAAACATAAAAAAAGAAGAAAAAAAGTGTCATTTAACTGAGACGTGACGGCCAACTCTCCTTTACTAAAATATAACTCATAATCATAAAAAATCAATTAAATAAAATATAAACTAATGAAATTGGACTATGAGCGACGCCACAGATCTTAGGTTTATTAATATATATATGTATATAGCACTCGCACACACACACTTATTATTAATAAAGCACTCGTAGTCCATCATAATAAATTATAGTATTCAAATTACTGAAGATTATTACGTATACTTTAAGTTTAGATAATAATATATTGTTATATATTATACGTGTATAGCCGTATAGGTAGCTGGTACAGTGGTAACTAAGTAATAAGTATACATAGGAAAGTATAAAAAAATTGTTTTTTTTTGTGTGTCATTATTTCTGGATATTATAATCAGTTAGTCGAAATATTTCACCAGGGTCAACGTATGTAAACTATAATATTATACAATATTGAATATATCCATTAAGCGTGAGCCTCGGTGCATACCTATGAATAGTGAAAACGTATAATAATACATTTTGAAATAGGTACATAATGTTGGAAGACAGGAATGCCGGGTGACGGGATATGGTGACGGTGGAGGTGTGTGTGTTGAGTGGTTGCTAGTGGAACTGGTGAAGTGGGGAAGTGGGGGGAGATCCCTTGTTAAAACCGCAATATTTTAATTAAAGGTTTTAAGAGCGATAATCTGACGAGTATAATAATAATATATACGAAATACCGCCACCGCGACCTAATTACGAGAGATATAATAATATAATATAATGGTTGTCTGATGGGCACTCGTCATAGCGCCAACCAAATAATTGATCAAAATATTACGGTAATACGGTATTAAGTTTGTTCGGCTCGATATGTATCGTAAACAGTGTCGGACTGGCATACCAAAGGCCCATGGATCAGTTTTTTTAAGGGGCCCCCAAAAAATGTACACCGTATTTCGTTGAAACAACATATTAAGATACTTCTTTAAATATAGGTACTTTACATTTTTACTAATATGGATCATAATATATAATATATATCATAACCATGATTCATGAGTTAACTTAAATATAAAAGCAATTTTACAACTAATTATTTTTGAAATAGGTACCTACCTATACCTAGTAAGAATATTTTAAATAATAAAACACAATTTTTAAATAAGTAATTTTTTTAATTCATTAGATGAATATGCTATCGTCTCTATCAATTTTTGAGTGTCAATAGCTATATTTTTTTCTATAGCCATCAACATTAATGGAGTAAGGTGATTTTAATGTAACGTTGAGCGAAGTTTCGTTTTTATACATTTAAGCTTTGAAAATACCCTTTCGCAAGTTGTTTGTGTTGATGGCAACAACAAAGCAAACTTATATATAACAAATAAATTTGAAAATAAATTTGACTGGCATGATAATTCTCGTACAATTAAAAATGCACAGTGAATACATTTGTTACACTTATTGCAATTTACTGATTTTGATATTTCATCATTATCTTCATCACTCACATCTTCATTTCTTAAAAGTAACTTATCTTCTGAATCACAATCGGTAGTATATTTAGGTATTTGTGGTATAAAATGTTCATATTGACTGGAAAATTGTTTCAATTCTGTTAAGATTACTTGATGATTCAGTCCAGATATTTTACATATAGTACTCAAAGCTGATAGTATTACAGGCAATAATTCAGTGTTGTTAAATACTGCAAAACTTCTAGGGTCCAACCAGTTCAAGTCTTTTAATAAATTTTCATTTTTCATGAATCGTGTCTCAATACTATTTTGAATAGTGTCTATAATTAAAAAAGTATCATATTTAAATTTATTATATGGAGATATAATTCTTGATTCATCATTACACTTTTCCCCAGAAAGTTTTTTTTTTTTGAAATACGTTTTATTGGAAAATCTTCTTCACAAAAGTGATTATTTATTTTTTTACAAAAATGTTGACATTTTTTATATAAATTTAATACATACTCATCATTTCTTTTTTTCTCAATTTCTTTTTTTAAAGCAGCTATCATATTCCATGCTTGTAAATAATTTATAGTTTTAGTTTGTAGATAAATTGACACCGGAGTTGTAGCTGAATAGCTATACGTATTATACTATTAACAGTATTATCCTAGTTATATTAGTCGACAATATTTTTATAAATAACTATAGTCGATAGTCGATACTCGATGGGATGTGAGAAAAACATTATATAATATTTATAAATAAAAGCATTATAATACAATATTAACGCAAAGCCGACGCGATGGAAATCATTCGTTTAAAAATAAACTATGAAACATTTGAAGCTACAAAACAATAAATAATAATTATTAATTCCACAGAAATGAAATTACGAAAACTAAAATTATATTTCCATTATAAAATTTCAATTTAGGAGACATATCCGTAAGCTATATAAGAATTATATTATTTAAGTAGCTTTCAAAAGTAAATGTCATACCTTCATCATTATTATATCTTTATATATTATACATTTATACAGATATTATAGACGTATAGTATTGTAAATTAAAGGACCATCCAACTCAAAAAATCAATAATTATTTTTTTACTCAAATAAATAGAATAGAGTCTAACTAATATAATGATACAAATAAAATTCGTTTGTGACTATTCGTTCGCTAGTCACTGTGACTTATGACATTGCGCGTGACGTCACGGATTCGTCCGCCGAGGCGGCGGCCATATATAATACACGGCAATATTTATCCATTTTTGGTTTAACATAAAATAACTGCTTATGAACTTATTTTTTTTCGAATGAACTAATCAAATGTATTCAAGAGTACCTCATAATCTTTCCATTCGTATAATTATATCACATTTTGGTTTAATAGTGTAGACAAAAATAACTCTTAAATAAATTGTATTATGAATTTACCATACTGGCTACTGCTGCTGCAGTAAACGTGTGTAATATTGTTTTGACGATCGTGACATCGTGTACGGATTTCTGACGCTTAAACTGTCTGTATAGTTTTAACTCGTAGCTAATATTAGAGATGGTTGAGGCTTTCTTATTATTATCCAACTATTTTAACATAAAATCTCATCACGGTACGGGGCAGCGACGGCGGCATATATGAATATCTAGTAGGGCAGTGGCTATAATTATTATTAATTGTCTGATAATATTTTTATCTATCGTGGCATAATATTTTATTAGTCATCAATGATTTGTTCTAAACATTTTTCTAACGAAGATTTTAATGAATCCGACTTATTACGTGAAAAACTTATGCCCGACACTAAAGTAATTGTAAGATTAAAACCCAGTTTTCCCTACCATTTTTAGTACTCAAAAAAATATTTCTATCGCTTCAACTACTAGTGATTCAAATAGAGAGGAAAGAATTTCGAGGGAAAAATAGATGGTCGTAGAATTATTAAAAACTAGCACACCAAAAAAAAAAAAAATATACATGATGAAGTTTTTGATGACGAAAATGTTGATGACGATTTCATAAATATAAATTTTAGTTTGATTTCTGTATGTTCAAGACAAAGTTATGCTGATTGCTGACACTGTTAATGATAAGGGCATCCAATGTGAAATTTACCGTTGTCAAGATAGTGCAGGTGATTATGATAAGTCGTTCAACTATTTGTCCGATGAAAATAGCTCCTCTGAAGATGATACAGATGTTTATTATTTCATTAATATTAAACCAAAATTCAATATAATTATACGAATAGAAAGGTACTCTTAAATACATTTGGTTAGGTTATTCGCAAAAATATAAGTTTATTAGCAGTTACTTTACGTTAAACCAAAAACGGATAAACATTGCTGTGTATTGTATATGGCCGCCGCCGCGACGAACGAATCCGTGACGTCACGAGCAATGCACGCGCAATCGCTTAACTAGCGAACGGACAGTCACAAACGAATTTTAGTGGTATCATTTTTTTCGTCAAAGTTTGTACTTCAATTTAAGCCTGAGAAAATTTTTTGAGTTGGATGGTCCTTTAATACATAATACATTTTTTTCTATGCAATATTTGCATGATTCCAACAGCGGGGCACTGGGGCCCCTGCAGGGTCGGGCAAGCGGGGTCCTCGTGGTCTCGTCTAAGTCCTATAAAACCTAACTTAACTTGCAGTAGTGCAATTAATCCAAAAAACCTGCTCTAACTTATTACTAGACAATTTCATTTTACTATTATTCATCATCATATTATAGGCCATAGGGAATGCTGGACAAAATTGACGACACTAAAAAAAAAAAAAAAAGAAGGGGCCCCGGCCGCATTCGCGGCCCAGCGGCCATGGCCAGTCCGACACTGATCGTAAATGTATTATATCATTCCTCTAAATAGCTCTGGACTAAGGTCTAAGAGATATACACAAACCTAGCCTGTTCGATGAAATTATCTGCGAAACAGCGTACCGATCTAATCCATCCAAAATAACCTACATAGGTACCTCGTACCTATAACGTATTGTTGTTTTATGTGTATAATAAGTGTATTGTATATTAATTGTATATGGTAACAATTATCGATAAAAATGTTTTATTTTGTTTCAATCGAAACGTTTGATGTCAGTCAATATCTGATAAATGAAAATTGTCAACCACCTGACTCCTGACTCCTCAATAGCAATAATTGTACTCTCGAAAGAATTAATATTGTCATTATAATTGCCGTTTATATCGCGTCATCTACAATACGTCCACAATCGTGTGGCGAACAATTTTAGTACCTACCTATAATATGTCCCACATAACATTTTCGATTAAGTTACACTAAGTATTATTATTATTGTATTTCCAATAATATGGTTTATTGAGCGGTTTGAGAGTAATTAATACACCTATTATCAATATTGTCGAAGAGAAGTTAATCTATTATGTCTGTTTAAAAATCAATTTTCGATATTTTAATTACTAAACTCAATAATTCAAATTCAAAAAATAAAATATCACACATTTCAGAGTTAATATTGGATATTGAAAATAAAATATCGAAAATCGACCCCTATACAAACCCAAATAAACTTCTAATCTTCAATTTTTATAATAGGTGTTCACTCTTGATACTGTAATTTCACTCAGTAAGCTATTTTATTGGAAATACGAAACTAAGTTTCAGTGTTTCACTAAAATTCACATTTATAATTAGTGTGTAAAATACTGCGTTACTGGCATGTGTGTGCAGTTGCGACTTGCGGATGTGCTCCACTATTTATTTTATACACAGTCATTCGCACTAATGATCACGTCTTACTAGTTAGTAGTTACTACGCACACATCTACACGACCTACATGCACACAAATAGAAAATTGCCTATACTGAACTCCTTAGAAACGGTCGGTATGCATACTCCTTGGCCCTTAAGTTCAAATTTGGACGAAATTACATATTGAATAACCCACAAGAATAACGATTTTAGTTATTTTTTTGTAATTGTATAATATTAATTATATTTACCATATTACTAATAAATAATAGCAATATAATTAATTTAATATAAGTAATATAAAATAACTCACTTACCCACTTTTTCAATATTTAAATCTTGACTTCCGAGGTTCAGTGTTTGCCCAATATAACTGAATTTTTCAATAAATAAATATCTATACAACAAAAACAAAAAAAAATATTTAATTTATTACCACTTATAAATTACAAATATTATTATTTATTATAGAAAATATTTATTTAAGTTATATATATATATATATATATATTATATTACGGGAAAAGTTGGAAATCGGGCATTGTGCACAGTACCCGGTCACTGTGCACAATGCAGGACTTCCTACTTTATCCCTAAAATATAAATATTATTATCTAAAGTTTATCTATTATATATTATCATGGCCAATGGGCATAGAGCCAATCAGCCAAATATATATTGACCGCAATAATTAAATTTCGAATACGTTAAGAATAATATAAATATCACTTAAGCAATGTATTTCAAATTTAAAAATAAATTTTAATCCTATCAAAAAAAATACCAACCATAAAAAAATATAAACTTTTCCAATTAACTTAATTATGTTGAAAAATAACTCGTAAGTACATCTACCGTTATACATTGTTGTGAAAAACCACTGGCTATAAGTTAATTGGTTCGGATTTCTGAAAGTAACTACGCAGGAACCTTAAAAGTTAAAAGTTTAGAAAATAACTCCTAACTCAATTTTGAAATGTTCAGTCTTATATATTATACATAATAAACCGACATACATCGATGTATTCATTATTGTCGGGAGCTGCAATTTTCCGTTGAGGGTGAAGAATAATTTTAGTAGGGGTAATTCTTCCCCAACTTGCTGTAGTGAACCATTAAGCATAATTGGTGAAGAAAGTTAAAAATATTATATAAGTCAAGTTCAAGTTTTATTTAGTTGAATATGTTATTAATAATAAATTACAGACAATACTACTAATTGCAACTTTATCAAAAATGTAATGTGGGACATATAAGTACTAAAATTGTTTGCCACACGATTGTGGACGTATTTTGGATGACGCTATATAAATGGCAATTATAATGACATCATTTCTTTTGACAATTATTGCTATCGAGGAGTCAGGACTCAGGAATGAGGTGGTTGACAATTTTCATTTATCAGATATCGACAGACATGATATTATACGCTTCGATTGAAACAAAATAAAAACATTTTCTCGACTGAGTGGTTAAGAGTGCACTTAAAGTATTATATTATAGATTAATAATTATAAAACTATTGAGTTGTATAAAAAAATGTTACATTCAATATTTA